TCCAAACGATTCCAATTGTGAGGTTTCCCCATCGAATCCCCTTGGGGTGCAGTCCAAAGGATCCTGGTTGAGAGGTCCTCCAATCAAAGACACATGTTCGGATTGCTTTCCAAAAGATTCAGACTGTCAAGTCTTCCAACAAAATCTCTTTGTAGCGCTTTGCACAGGATTCCAAGTGTGAGGCCTTCGGAGAGAATCCATTTGTAGCGCTGTCAGAAGGATTCCAATTGTGATGCGTTCCGAAAGAATCCTTTGGACTGGCTCCCAAGGGTTCCAAGTCTAAGACTTTCCCGTAGAATCCGTGCGGAGGTATATCCAAAAGGTTCCGGATCCACGGGCGAGGAAACCGGGCGAGAATCGCACGCCAGAAACTCGAAAACGACAAAAATTAAGTTGAATGATTGCGGCGTGGCCGGCAGGAGACACGCAAGCGATGGCGACTGCACGGGCCAAGAGCGGCCCTCTACGGAAGCGGCTCACCGGAGCGGGCGGCCAACGGCCAACCCGCAACCCCTGAACTCGTCGGGCCCCCCCTGCGCCAATTGAGGGAACGGGGGAAGGAAAGGAAGGAAAAGCTTTCCAATAAAATCCTTTCGTAGCGTCGTCCAAATGAGTCAATGCTTCCGATCGTGAGGTTTCCCATTAGATAGAACCCTTTGTATGGTATCTTGCGAAGGACTGGTCCTGTGACGCGTTTCAGAGATCATCCCTTGGTAGTGCTGTCCACAAGGCTCCGATTGTGAGGCTTTTCGATACAGTCTTCTTGTGGTGCACTTCAAAGGGTTCCAAATGTGCGGCCTTCTAAGAGAATCCCCTTGCAGCGCTGTCAAAAGGATTCCAGTTGTGATGCGTTCCGACAGAATCCCTTTGAGTGGTTTCGAACAGATGCTTTAATGTTGTTGTACGAAATCCCTTGGGGTCCTTTCGGAATGTTTCCTTCTGTGAGGCATTCCAGCGGAATCCTCTCGACGCATTGCCCAAAGGATTTCGATCGTGAGGCTTTCCAATAGAAGCCCTCGATGGTACCTCCCAAGAGATCTCTGTTTTGACACGTTCCTACTCGCATTCCTTGGTAGTGCTGTCCAAAAGGTTCCGATTGTGAGACTTTCCATTGAGAGCCATTCTGCGGCTCTTTTCAACAAATTCAAACTGCGAGGCTTCCTGCTGTAACCCCTTTTTAGTGTTGCCCGAAGGATCATAATTACAACGCTTTCCCACAACATCCTTTTGTAGCGCTTTCCACAAGGATTCCGATTCGAGGCCTTCGAATCGAATCCATTCGGGATACCGACATTTTCCGAAGGTGAGGCCTTTCGATAGACTCCCTTGATAGTGCTGTCAAGGATTTCGAACGCGAGGTTTTCCAATCGAGTCCCGGTGTGGTGTTGCCAAAGGATTCCAAGAGTGAGACCTTCTTGTGGTGCTATTGGAAGGGTTGCAGTTGTAACGCTTCCCAATTAAATCCCTCCGTAGCGCTTTCCGAAGGGCTCCTCTTGTGAGGCCTTTCAAAAGAATTAATTTGCGATGTGCGGTGCAACATACACAATAAGCACAACATAACGATCTTTCTCTCACGTGCAGACTGCACTCCACACGCTCCCGTATAGGAAGGACGGGCCAGGGTTGCAAGGTAAGCGCCCACTTTGCTATGACCATTCCCAAGGCAGCCAACGGCGGCATCTCCAACAAAAATCCACTAGGGGAGCTCCCCAAAAGATTCCAAATCTGTGGCCTTCCATTAAAAACCCTTGGTTGTGCTGTCCAAAAGGTTCTTGTTCTGGGGCTTTCCAGGCAAATCCCTTCGTAGTGTTTCCCAGGGAATTCCAAGTGTGAGGCCTTGCGATCGAATCCCTGTGTAATGCAATTGAAAGGATGACAGTTGTGACGCTTTTCGATAAAATCCTTTTGTAGCGCTCTCCATAAGTATCACATGTGACGCGTTCCAATAGAATCCATATGGGGAGCGTTCCAAATGATACCAAATGTCAAGCCTTCCCATAAAACCCCTTGGTAGTGCTGCCCAACGGGTTCCTCTTGAGAGGTTTTCTAATGGAAGCCCTTGGGAGTGCTGGTTTCCAAAGGCGGACAATGTCATTCATCGATGGGGAAGTAGACTGAGAAACAGAGAGAAGGAGAGAAAGAGAGAGAGAGAGAGCAAGCATCATCTGTGTCAACATCATTTTCATCACCGGGAGCCCAAGCATCTTCATCATCGCTGTCATCGTTTTCAGCAACTTGAGCACGCAAATAAACGCGAGGGGCTGTTATGCCCCCAGCCGTCTACCCTGACTGTCCGCCGGCACGCGGCAACGCACCGACCGAAGGCGAACTCGGCGCCAATCCTCCGAATGCCAAAACAACTCCAGCGGCCACTCGCAGTGAGAACCGTGGCGACGACCTGGACAGGCGCATGGCGCAGAAGGCAATCAATATCGAAGGTGACCTGCTCGGGGCCTTGGCAGGACCCAGTGACTACGCAGAAGGGGCCTGCTTGCGCTCGCACGTGGGAAACAGCGCTCGGCTCCCCTCTCCGGCCGAGAGCAAAGGGCCGAGGCCGCCCTGGTGGCAGCGTGGAGGGAGCGGCACACGGCGCCCCTACCGCGGCGCGGCGGCGCCCCGCGCTCACACAGGCGCACGCGCAGAGTCGCCTCGACCCCTGCAAACCCGGGCGCAGACAGACCCGGCCGGACTCGGCGAAGCAGGTCCGCGGAGCAGCCTGCCCGCGGGCAACCGCCCCCAGCGCGGCCCGCAGCAGCGGCGCAGCCAGCGGCGCAGCCAGCAACAGGCCCGTGGACGCCACCGCCCGTCCCATCGGCCGACAGTGCCCGGACATGCAGGCCCACGCTCCCAATCGCATGCCAACCGCCCCCGCTGCCCGAGCTCCCCACCAGGGGCCGGCAGGGACTTGGGGCATGACCTGGTTGGCTCGTAAGATGCAACTATGGCCCGGCCATCAACATGCACTGGGTCGGTTTCTGCACCAGGCTCCTGGGAGGCCGCAGCATGGCCCCAAGGGCGCTCCTGGAACTGTTTCTGCGGCACTTCCTCTAGTCACTCTGGGAGAACCGAAAGGTCCTGGACGCTGGCCACCTGGATCGCATGTTTGCCGTTGAGAAGTCTGCGTCGCTCATTCCCAACGTTATCACAATTTCGTCCAAGAGGGCGCGACCAGCACGCTCACGGCGCTGCTGACGACGCAGCTGGGGTTGGAGATGGGTCTGGTGTTCAAACATTTCACGAGCGGCGGGCGCGGTTCTTCCGGAAGAACGCGACGATGCCGGGCAGGTAAGAGCCCAGCAGCGCCGGCGCCTCGGGCACGGGGCTGCCGTCGTCCGTCATTAGGGCGGCATCATCGTCCATGGACGGTGGGGAACGATTCTCTACGGTACATCATCAGCATCACTTCCCCCTTCTCGGGCTCCTGATGCCGCAGACGTTCCATCAGGCACAGCTGGCCCGACACCTGCCAGCAGTTCATGTTGGCTCACCTGGTGACCTGGGCGATCGGGCCAGAGAGGACCAGCGCGCCAGGCGGGCCTTGCACAAGCCAGACCTACCGGGTGGGGTCGCCAAGATCCCCATGTGGATGGGCGAAGAACTCCTCAGGGATTGCGTGCTGGGCTTGGGGACTGACTCCTTCCCGCGCTGTAATTTCTTGCAGGCCTGCGGTACCTGGACAGCGCACCTGCCGCCGCCCCTCGAGGTGGAGCCGCGCGTGCCCCTTCGCCATCCCCAGAAATATCCCTAGTATTGCCAGACCTGGACCCCCCCCACCGCCCGGATGTCCAATCTTGACGGACCGCTCGCATGACACCCCTGGTCCCGGCGGGCCCGATCGACCTAGTCAGCAGACCTGACCGCGAGGACACGACAACCGCCCATGTCGTGGTGGACCACGCCAGGAGGCAAAACCCAGGCATCGAAGGAGGCGTGGTACGACTTCGCCCAGGAGCAGAGCGCCGCAGGTGCCCTGGGTGTGGAGGCAAGTAGAACCGACGCCAGACACTGGCGTGCCTGACGCCTACCCCTGGGATGGCAAGCGGGCCACCTTGGCTAACGTCTTTGCCTAGCTCGCGCAAACCAAAGGCAGCAGGAGGGGTGGGGGTGCTGGGGCCGATGACTTGAGGTCGACTTGGATGCTCTTCCTAGGGCCCCGAGCGGCCCTGAGTAGTGTTACTGACCCGTCTAGGTATGACGGACAAGTCCTGGCATCCTCCCTGGCGGGCCAGGGCATGCGCGACCTGGGCGCCCCCTTGCTCGCCTGACACTGCCGTCCGATCCTGGGCGCGGAGGCGGCGGGCGCTCCCGAGGCGGCAGCCGCGGGCGTGCTGCGAGAACAAGCGGCTGGCGACGCTGCCGGGAACCGCGAGCGCCAGCCCACAGAGCGAGCGGACGCTGTCCCCCCAGCGAGCCCGGCACAGCTCATCAGGTCCGTTCACTTGGAGCAGTTGGGCGGTGGGGGAAGCGAAGGCTCCGCTCAAGACCAAGCGCAAGCCCCCCCCCGCTGAGTCGGACATCGAACAGGGCGGTGCGACCCCGCGGGCCAACCCCCCCCCCCGACTACAGCGACGGCGAGGGCGGCGGCGGGGGCAGGGACAGCCGCGCTCTCCCAGCCCCCACGACAAAGAAGAGGGGGGGCGTCGCGGGCGCACGTGCACAGACGCCTCCCCTCGGGCGCAGGCGGGCTCCCAGGGACAGGTGTGCAGACTTTCTCGTGGCGCGCGGGGGAACTCAATCCCTGTCGTCTCTGGGAGGTCTGTGCGCCAGTGCAGCATGGGGTCGCTGTCCAAACTTTTCATCCTCCTCCTCCTCCTCCTCCTCCTCCTCCTCCTCCTTCCAGCAGCGCTCGGGCCAGCAGGGTCCGCCACCCTCCTCCTGAGACTCCTCATCCTCCTCCTCCTCCTCTTCCTCCTCCTCCTCCTCCTCCTCCTCCGCCTCCGCCTCCTCCTCCTCCTCCTCCTCCTTCTCCTCGACCTCCTCGACCTCCTCCCTCGGGGCTCCTGCGGCAAAACCACATTGCTGGCGGTCCGTGCCGCGGCAGCCTGAAATGCTTCGCGGACAACTTCCGCGCTAGCCTGCCAGCCGTGCCGCAGTTGGAAGCGGCTCGTCACGTCCAGACTGGGCGGATGGAGGCGGGAGCGGCCAGGCTGAGGATGATCAAGGGAGAGGAGGAGGAAGAAGAGGAGGAGGGAGCACGTGCTGCATTGGGAGACGCGACGCGACGGGGCCACTCACTACAGTATTCTTCTGGGTTGTGGAACAACAGGAAGCAGGGGGAAGCGGATGAATGGGGTCAGGAGGAGCGCGGGAATCAAGAAGATCTTCACCGACAACTGCTCGCAGGGGGTGGCAAGGTGCATAGAACGTACTGACCGTTCCCTCCCCCCGTAGATTTGGAGGACCACTGCTGGATGCAAAAGTGGGACCCGTCCACAATACGTAATGTCGATAGCTGGAAAGACATACGGCTACACGTGTATCTAGCTATGGCCCACGCCACCCACACCATGCGTATCAACTTTCATGGTACAAAAAAACCCAAAACGGCCCCGAGCAGGGCTTCCGGCTTCCGGAGTGAGTTTCAGCACGGCCCCATCGAGCGGATGTTCCGCCTTGGATAAGACAGGGGGTTCAACAAAAGGCCTCGGTATGCCGAGTGGGAGATAAACGGTGAAAGCAAACAGGGTTGTCAGAGGAATGCGTTGGCCAACGTAGGCCACAAACACTGTATGCTTGCAGTATACGCGGCGCAAGTTAGGTGGTGCAGACCACGTGCGGCAATCTAGATAGTGCATCTGCGCGGCGCAAAACAATTTAATGAAATGCTATGCACAACGAAGTGAAGCAAACCAAAACAAACCGGCACACAGCAATGCTAAGCAATGTGTAGCACGTGCAAACCAAACGAATGCGATTCCAATGCGGCAGCGAAGCGGATCATCAAACAACAACCCAGTCCAATGAGAAGTAAGAAGGCCAACGCCCTCGCAATACGAAGCAGTTCAAAACAATGCGACACAATGCAGTGCGGTTGCAATGCGCAACGATCAAACGGCGACGGCGGCGACGGGCGGAGACGAGCTGGCAAGACAACACCATCTGCTCATTTACCAGCGGCGACGGCGGCGGCGACGAGCTGGCAGGACCATCGCCAGAGCTTGGTTACCTCAGGAGGAACATGGCAACCCCGAAGTGAAAGCAATGTCTGAGGAACTCGGGGAAGAGGATGGGCAAAATGACGGGACGAAAAGACAAGGGGGAGATGAGGACGGTGAGCCGCAACATTGAAATGAGGAGGAGGCAGCGGGTTCCAAGCGACGGGCGGACAAACTCGGGTCCTTTTGAACTCGGCGCGGGCCAGCCTGTGGCGCTCAGCGGCTGTGGAGACAAACGCGCACCAGGACTGGCGGGCATGAGAAGGACGAGGAAAAACCCAGACACAACTCGGGGCCTTTGGCAGCGCCCCCTGGGGGGCCACGGAACGGCACGCGAACGCACCCACTGGGCCCTCGGTGGAGCTCCGAGGACGGCGAGAGGGGCGTGCCCACGTGGGCCGGGCGCCGTCACGTGAGCGCACCCACTGGGGCCCTCGGTGGAATTTCAAGGGGGCAAGGAACGTGTGAGTCGTATGCCGAAATGGTCGGGGCGACGCCATGCGAACGTTCGCAATCAGGCTCTCGGTGGAGCTCTCTGAGGCGGGCACTGGGGCTCCATAGGATGCAGGGGGCGCGTCAGGGGTGTGCCGACATCGGCCAGCGCAAAAAAATGAGGGGTAGGACATTTTTCCGCGGGAGCCTCCAAGGCAGAGCGCAACAGGAAACAACAGCAACAACATCAGCAGGAGGAAGATTTGGCCGCCTGCTCCGGTCCCTTGATGCGCTCGGCGACCATCCCCGTGGTCGGGATGAGCCTGGTGCGCGAGCTGCTGGCCGCCTCTGTGGACGAATCTGCAGCCTCGAGCAAGACCAAGACAGGGGCGACGGGTGGGCCCGACCGCTGCCCCACTCGAATAGTGGGGTGTAAACCTCGGCGAATTCGAAACAACGTCTGCTCCCCGCTCTTGGGAATGACGGGCGGGCAACTCTTTGCGAGGCGCACGCAACGCTTGCTGGAGTAGGCGCCACACTTCGGACAAAAAGGAAAAGACACACATTCTCATCCTGGATAATAGCCACGCCTAGCCTGTGGCCGCGCAGCTCCGCTCCACGGAGCCTTCCGATGGTCGCGGGGAGGCCCCTGCATCACGTCATCCGGCGGTCTCCCCAACAAAGAAAGCACTGAAACACTTCCTGCACCTCCACGCCACCCCGGGACCGTGCCACCCCGGATCTCTGACCAGCCTGGGTCGTGTTCCCCTGGGCGCGTGGCGAAAATCGAGATTGGGGTAGCATGAGAGAACAGCAGAACACATCTTGGCAACCACGTTTGTACGCACAAAGAGAGCATCCAGGGTCTCAAGAGTCAGGGGGGATAGCTGGGTGTAACGTGAGAGCATGCTTAGCAAGCCTGTCAGCGTCTTGATTGCCCTCGCGATTCGACGCTCGAAAAATAGCAGGGCCCCGATCACCCTCTCACTACGATGGGCGTGGGTGCGCTGCGCCAGGCCGGGGAGACCTTCAGAATCACGTTCCCTGGCCTTGCGCCTCAAACCCACGAAAACGTGATTTGGGCAAACCTCTTCGCTCTGACTGCCGGTGTGCCGGCGAACGGCCCACACGCAGTCGCTAGGAGGCTGACTGTGGTCATCTACCAAGGCGCTCAACGTAGCAAGACCAACATGTTCCGCAGCCTGAAGGCTCTGAAACAAAAGTCGGCCAGACAGTACCGAGGACGCGCGATCGAACGTCAAACTCTTCACCAAGAGCCATGCACATGGCGGCGCATGCCGCGCGGTTACATTCGCGCAAAGTCAGCTGGGTCGCAGAGCCATCCTCTCAGACCTCGCACTCGCGTTAAATCCAGGAAACACTCAAGCTCAATCTCCCTGCCGTCAGAACCTTGCAAGATGGTGCCGATGTCCGAGGAGGGGGAGGCGATGTCCTACGGGTGGGAAATGATCAGGCGGGACCAGAAAAAGAGGTCATCGTCAATCTTGCTACGGGCCTCGAGCACAACACCCGCTCCAACTCAGTCGATCCGTGTCTGTCGGACCTCAGCAGCGTCACACAGACATTGCCTGTGGATCAAGGGATCGGCCAATCCATACAACAGACAGCCCCCAGCGGTGCAAATACTCCGACTCGACTGACCGATCCCCTGTCCAGCAGGCTCCCGTAACGACAGCAGCAACCCCATATTTCTACCGCGCGCTGGCCTTGCTGGACCTATAAAGGCGGTGGAGAGGGTCGGCGCAAACGCGCCCGCCTGTGAAACCCGGCAGGTTTGACGCAACGCGGCCCTCGAGGGCCTGCCTTTAACACTTGGGCAACCACAGCGGGCGAGGTATACATGAGGTCAATGACGAGGTCACGGTCATCTCGCCAAAACGCAAAGTGATCCACGAGCCACCCAATGCGGAGGAGGGACAGCACCGCACGATAGACAAGTCCACTGGGCCTGCGACAGCAGCAAGGCCTGAGCTCGGGAGAGGTAGAGGAAACAGTGCTGCAAGAGATGCGGCTGCTCTTGGGGTCTGTGAGGCTTTGCCAGAAACTGCTTGGCCCACTCACGGGTTGCGGCCAATGCTTGACGCCACGCAACGCCCCCATAGGGACACCAGTTTGGCCGTCAATGATGTGCCTCGGTGAGCACGGGTAAGTCCAGACATCGAAACCGATCGAAGGTCAGTAAGGGTCCCTATCCGACACGCCCAGCACCATTGCTCCGAAAGCTGCTGTTGGCCGCGCTCTCACACGATGTATGTGTATGTATATGTATATATCTATATGTTTATACATGTGCGCACATATAAATATACATGTATACAACTGAATATGTATATATGTATGTACTTTTGTGTATCTATATACCGTTTTACTGCACCTGTCCACGCCAATGGTCTAATAGCTCAGTTTCCCCCTCGAACTGCGGTTCGCCGCGCGCCGCCCGACGCCCCCTTCCCCCGCAGCTGCGCCAAGCCAAAAGCAAAACCCCCGCAGCCAGAGCAACCAAGCGTGGCAGTCCACGCTGGTTTGAAGGCGTTTCTTTATGTTCGGCGATGACGGGCGTCATGGGGGGGGGAGGGCGGGGGGGGTATGATGTGACGCCCCCCCCCCGCCGTGTGGCTCCGGCACCAGAGCCGCGCCCGCGCGCACGACGCGACGAGCGACGACCGACGAGCGACGACGACGACGCGAGCAGCATGTAAATGGCGATCTGCCCATTGCGCCTGTGTGCACCACAACGCTCGCGTGCACCACGCCGCGCGTGTGCACCTCAACGCCTGCGTACAACGCAACAGCCGTGTGCAACGCACCGCCCGTGTATACCACAATACTTGGGAGCACTACATCGCCGGTGCACATACACCGCAGCAGCCTTTTTTTTTGCCTGCGCGGCGGGCAGGCGGGGAGGCTCCAGGAGTCAGCCCCCCCCGTCTGTGTGGCGCCCCTCGCCCCTCGGTGAAAGGCCGAGGGCACGGCGCCACGGAAGGCTAGGCGGCCTACGCTGAGGCCACCGAGCTCGAGAGGCCAGCCACCTCTCCAGCTGCAGCGTCAGGGAGGCGCGCACCGCTGGTCGGGTGCACCCCTCGACGAATTCTATCGCCTCTGAGGCGGCGGATGCGACCTGCATCCCCCTCGTCTGGGACGCACAGGCTCGAGAGCGCCTTGAAGGAGCCAAGGCGCTCGCGCGCGTACGCATTGCACCGATTGCAAACGACGTAGCCGTGGCACCGCTGCAGCACATGCCCGAGCTCGTCGCGCGCAGTGGCAGGAGCGGGCGGCACAGCGGGAGCCGCACCCTCGGCAGGCTCATCGGCGGGAGCCAAGAGCGCACTGGCTCCGCCGCGCTCAGCACGCACAGGAGGAGACCGCGACCTGTCACCGCTGCCTCCGACGGCGCCAGCGCGAGAAGAGCTCGCCCTGCGATCCCTCCATGCAGCCATGAGGAGGTCAGCGGCACTCGAAGGCTGGCTCTCGGCGGCGGCGGGCCTCTCACTGGAGCCCGCGGCAGGCCCA